GAAACAGAAAAAAATATGCGCAGAAATGCAAGAAAAGCATTTTTTAATTGAATAAGGAATATGTTAAATTTTTTTAGTGTACAGAAGACCTTACAACTCTTGCAATTACTAATGTTTGATACTGTTCAAAAATAAGTGGTTTCAACAAGGTTGATAGCGCTGTCATAGGTTATAACACTAGCAGAGAGATCATAATAAAGACAGATCTAAATTATCCAACCAAAATTATTGCTTATGTGATTGACGACACTCTTCGTGTTCTTAATTTTTGTAGCTTTTTGCTTTTACATATTTTCTTTTTTTGGTATCAATGTGAGCAGTCTGTAATGGTTAACAACTACAAACACATCTGCAGGTTGTTGGCTGATCTTCAGTAACTATTTACCAAAATATTTTTTATGCAAAAGCTGAGATTTTTTCAGTAGCAGTCTAAGAATATCTGCTGTTAATGCTTAATACTACCAACAGTATAAATTTGCTTTTTTTTAGAATAATGTTAATAGTTTTTTGCAAGTTTGATAATGTATCTGTTATTGTTTTTAGGTCTTTGTTAGCTCTTGCTTATTGTTATTTCAGCCTAGGTACTACTTTCAAAAAGCCGTCTTCAAAGTTTCTTTAAAAAAAATACTTGCTTCTCGTATTTGGAAATGCTATGAATTTATGGTTCTTAACAGGCTATAGTTGAGCTTTATACTATTTATACAATTTGATAAAAAAAGCTGATAATTCGCAGTATGAAATCTGAATGCATATATAGTCAACGAAAGTGTAGCTGTGCTTTTGAACATTTGTATGAGCAGACGGAGGTGTTACCCAATAGACATATTATGCTCAAAATTCTGCATTTAGAACTGCAAAAAAGCTGTTCTCATTTTGTTGCAAATTAATGCAATTACTGAAATTAAATGTTTTATAAGTTGTATAATTATCCAACTAACATGTTTAGTTGTTCATGTTAAGTTATAAGATTTTACATTAGGTTATTTTTGTATTTTGTATTATTACAACGACATACTATTCAGAATGTTAAAAAAACCTTGGAAAGTGTGCCAGTTAGCTTAATGCCAAACGATATTTTTACATCTGAAAACATGTTCAATAGTACACATTAAAAAGGTTTCAGAATAGTAAAGTGTTAAATCTATTCTATTCTGTAGTTACTCTAAAGCTTTTAAAAGGCGATCTGTTTTTGTTCGGTTTACTTATTTTCTTATCATAAACCATATAGAAACCAGCCGGTTTCTAATTCATATTCGTTATAGAAATTACCATAATATGGGTAATCAACATTTTTGGTAACCGGATAATCATAAGTGAAAGTTGTAGGATAGTTATAGCCAAGATAAAAGGCATCTTAAAAGGTTCACTGGCTTAGTGAAGCATAAAAATTAAAAAGTCTAATTTCTCTTAGATTGAAATTGATTCAAGGTTGTTTACTGCTGTTGGTTCAGTAAAGAGCTGAAAAATACAGTGAAAGTAGTAATTTCACTTGACTGAACCGCGTGGAAGAGGGCGAGAAGTACAACTAATACCGACATGTCTGGTGGTTTTACTGTTTGCTTCAACAGCGGCCTGTTACAAATTACAGCGCAAAACACGTTGCTTGCAACACGTGAAAAACTTTTTTTCTTTTATTTAGGTGTAAAGTTTGAAACGATTTTACTGTGCTAGTATTTAGGCAACTATTTTGTAGTAGTTTTTTTTGGCTGTCAGTTTTGTTAAATGTTGCCTAAAGTGGTTCGCTGATGTTAAGTACAGGACGTTTTCCAATTAAATTCAAAAGCGAAAAGTGTAGCTAAGATACAGAAAGTTCTGTTTAACAGCTAGCTTTAATTATCATAATCAGATTTAATTTTCTATCATTTAAATTTTGTTTTAAAAGTTTTTAAATAGTTTAATTGGTTAGTGTGATCAGTTTTGAGAAAAAGACGTAAACTGAGGCATTTACTTTGTTTGATAGTGGCTAAACTGCATTTTTCATCACAAACTTCATTCTTTTTCCTTCTTTTTGTAGCTGGAAATCACTTACAAAAGATGTTGGTAATAGTAACATGATCAGAGCGAAGAAATCGTTGAAATATATAACAGTAGTCTTGAATTTAGGTGATTTTTCTGCACATTTTACTGCTTTTATTAGAAGAGTCACCATAAAAGATTTTGAAAAAAAACAAGTTTCAAGTTTCGATGAAGATTCAAATATTGTTCCTCAGTGAGCCAATAAACATCGCTACAAAACATTGAAGTGTCAACAACCTATTAATCTGAAGCACTTGTAAAGAAATTTAAAATCTGTTCTTCTGTGAATTATAAGCTATTGATTAGTAGACAGTTAATTAGTTAAAGCTTGTAAGTATAAAAGATAGAAATAGAAAGTCTGCTGTTAGCTAAAGTTTTTTGTGGACCATCGTAATGAGTTACCTGTGCAACATTGTCTTAACAGCATTTGAACTCATTTATATGTTCATTGAATAAAGCTTCTCAGTCTTTATGCTTCTAGACATGATTTGATGTCCGCTGCACTTTTATATA